TATATATATATATATATATATAGTGTTTTGTACCTGTGTACATTAAATGAAATTGTTTCCGACTCTTGAATGATACTACAGTTAATTATGCTTTCATTCACTTGGTAACTGGACTGTCATACAATCAGATCACCTGAATTCTGCTTATCACTGATGTGATATAATGTAGTAAGCTGAAATTCATGAAATTAACGGAATCTGTAATTATAATCACCACTTCAATATGTCCAATTTAGCCAGAGATGTCAAACTTTATGTCGCATTGACCTATGAGTATTCGTTCTGCAAATTAGAAACTTCGATGAGGTCGATCTCTGTTAAGGTAGGGATAGATTTTCAATCTTTATTATGTCCTAACAGTTATTCAAACTTATTTGTAAATTTTTTTCGGAAAGAATAACTTAGATATATTCAAACTTAACATCCCAAACAAAACTTTGTCACACGCAGTACTGTGTCACATTAACTAATAGAGGTTAAGAAGTATTAATCATGCTGTCATCGATAATATAATCGATGGCAGAAGGATGATAAGTGGAACAAATTCAAGAATCTAATATCGAAAAGAAGTTTGAAAATTGAATAGCATAAATGAATTATTGTGATAAGAACTGAGGAAGCAATTTCCTGTGTTATTTCCATTCTTTAAATTTGAAATTAATTTAGTCTAAACAAAATTTCATACTTCCTTATTAACAATTCAAAATTAAGTAATTTTGTATCTTTCAATCTCTTCAACTACAACTGACGATATTTGTTGAAATCGATGTTATTAACTCTGTACGCTATTATTAGCGACCATTGTAATTTTAGCATCAAGAGGGGCCAAGGGTCACATCCAGGAGACCTGGTTTGAATTTGAAAGTTTAAGTGCTTATTTAGTTGTCATAATTATTTGTCCACTGCTGCTTCTCTACACATTATTCGTTACCTGATATGCTCTGACTATCAGTATTTCTAATACATAAACAAAAAGAGCAATTTAACTGGCATTTAGAAGACTTTTTGACTTGCTGGACTTTTTGACTTGATGAACTTTTCCTTTATAAATATCGATGTAAATGAATGAACTGATATACTATTGTCAAAATTATCAATGTTGCTTCTTCTCTAGTAGTATATCATTGCTATCAGTAAATGTTTCTCGAATACTTCGACATTTCTTTTCAGGTCAAAGGTTAGCATTTCCAGTATTCTATTATTGTCAGTAAACGTATCTTGAATATTTCGATATTTTTTGCATCCCTGAATTTCTAACTTTTCTAAAGTATCTTCTTGGCAAATATACTTTCATGTTTCTATCCAAGAATTACTGATACTCTTTGGTTTTATATTACCTTGAAAGGAACTGTAATTCAGAAGATCCATTATCATTGTGACAAAACTCAATTGAACAATATAAATGTTATCATATATGAGATAGATGAATCAAAGATTGTATGGTAGTTAAATGAGTGACAGTTCACATTCAAATGTCATATATCAAGTAGTACTACTACTACTACTACTACTACTGCAAATTGGTACCAAGTTAGAGATGGTACAGATGTGATAGTTGACAAGGATACCGCTAATTAATTTGATATTTAAGAGTACTATTGTTTAGTTTGATCGAATGACGTCAAGCTTGCAAGTTTTCGACTTTCGGCCATTTGCCATGTTGAAGTTAACAGCAACTGCACGGCTGTTCCACCTCTGGTGCAATAATTCTTCCAACCGTTCCATTTCTCGACCTCCTGTACTTCAACTAATTGTGCTATTATCAATCTTACTTAAACCTTTTAACTTACTTCTAGCTTCAGCTACACCACAATTTAGCTCTATCAGATTACAGTCACAACCACGATCATTAGATACTGAACAATGTCAAACTAATATTCCCGGTGATTGTAATCCATACTCATGTCATGGTACTTGTGAAGGACGATATGTTCGATTTTGGGATAATAAACTAAAACTCGATCGAACTGTGAAAAGTTGTCATTGTGTCCAGGTGAGATGGTTATTGCTATGAATGATTTCTTATGCTTAATAAGTAAAATAAGTAAATGAATAAAATGATTTTTCTTTCCATATTTCCAAGATTTGATAATAGCAATATTCCCGAATTTCAAGATAGAAATATTCCCGAGTTTTGAGAAGACAGTAATATTCCCGAGATTTAAGAAGTTGATTCGAAATTGACTTCTTATTCACTTTTCCGAAAATTCTCTATAATTTGATACATATTGAAGCGCTAATCATTTTATTTTAATCAATAATCTTTTAACCATCCATCAATGATACATGTTTCTTTTTTGTCTCTTCTTCCTCTTCCGCTGATAATATTCTGATAACTTTCCGCGCCAAGTAAACTTACTTTGATCATTTCGGGATTGGCCATAAAATAGGACATTTCCTTATTTCCCAAAAGATAAAAATAAACTTTCTCGATTCTTCCTTCTCCTTATTTGCTTTGTAATTAACTAAACATGTAGTTAATTGTTTTACATTCTCTCTCCTCACAAACTTTTTTTTTACAATGATCTTGAAGAGATTTTTTTTCTCTGATCTTTCGTGATTGATTAATTTTAATTGTTGTTGTCAGAGATTACAACAAAATCTCTTCCCGCCTTTCTGTTCATTCATTTTTCTCAAATCTCCCACATCGGAATTGATCTTGTTTAACTTTTGAACAAACACAAGAAAAGGTTTGGCTTACATATTTGCAGTTAATAATTACTGCAAACCTGCATTCTGCAATAGATCGAGAAATCCTTTCATTTATCTTCATCTTTCTTCTTTCCTTAACCACTCACCTGCTGTTAATGAATTTTATTTTAGAAATAATTATTTTGAAATTAATATTTTTAGGAGCCGGTGTGTAGCATAATTGGAATGAATGCATATACCGGTTGTCGAACTTATTCCGTACTCTCTAAAGCAGCTCAACGATTCATCCGGTTATGGACAATGAGTGATGCCGAAAAATTGGACAATCAACGATCTTCACTTTTTGCTTTTCGGTTTCATCGTTCCTGGGATCGATTACGACATAATCAATTGCTTAATGCTAATTCTAAATTTTGCTGTCACACAATCAATACCACTTCTTCGGGTTCTATTATTTTTCACTACACATCATTATCAGTTTTAATGCCTCTTTCATTTGTATTACTTTTGTAAATTGATCTCTCTCAGTACTTCTGGGATTTCTCAGATGGAATAATTACTTTAAAATATGTCATTTGAGAAATACAATTTCAGAAGAATTTTAACAAATAATATTTGTTGTTTAAAAAAGTTCCTACCAAGTACTTTGTACAAATAAATCTTCCAAAGACAATACAAATATGATATTTATTTAGGTAACATCGAATATTGTGCTAAAACATAGCTACCAAGTATGCAAAGAAATTCAAATATTTTATTAACCTTTCGTCCTTCGGTTTTATTACCGTAATCTACTTTAGCTAATATCAATAATTTTAGCAGTGTTACTTGTATTGAACCATTTAAATGATTACTTATAGCATGTCTAACATGGTCTCATCCATTTCTTGTAATATATATTATTTTAATTTCGTTGTCGCATATTCTAAAATAGACGATGGCTGACAACAATGATAATTAATTTTGCTAGAATTATTTTAGATTTCAAAAAAAAAATTATATTTTTCTTTCTAAACTGGCAATCAAATTGGTTAGATAAGCGAAAGCATAAAGAATTGTGCGCAAATGTTGTAGAATGTTATTGTGAATAAGAAAATTTGAATTATAAAAATTACAAAAATAAGGATAGCCTTACGTGATACACAAGAAATTAATAATCTAGAACACGTGACAACATTACATTGATAATTTATTAATTACACATCTAAAATTTACTAAATAGTCTCCAGAAAGCTATCATTTCCAGAAAGCTATCATTAGCTAATTTTACCAATCGATTCAAATTGCAGAAAAGGCATGTTGACCTTTCCTGTATTTCATGTATTGGATGAAGGTCATGAACACAAGATCCAATCAATCATTTGCATTCCTTCTTACATTTGAAAAATTAAAACATTGGTTTTCAAGATTTTAAATTCAAGTTAACTAGTGTCCCACTTGATTAGAACATCTGTAAAATTTAATTTTTGAATAGATCCAGACATGTTGGAATTTCAAGTTTGCAAATTTTAAATATTGAAATCATGAATGAATTTCTTCAAATATGGACAAGGAAATGAATGGATGATTCGAAGAGGTTTTGGATAAAAGTTTCAGATTGAAATAGGTTAAAGTTCACTACCAATAGCTATAATCTCTCTAATGAGAAAATCAAGATCTTCTTTGGTGATTGCTTGATTTGAAATAATCATTCGGAAGAAATTCGGTCTTTGCTTGTCCGGTTGATAGCCAACCATTGTTGTTCCACGTTCCATCATTTTTGCTTTAATTTTTGGTGCTATCTACAACAGAAACAACAGTTCAATATAATCTGAAATGATTTGAAAAAGAAAAAATATTGGAAATGATTATTGATTGATAGAGAAAAGATTTATTCAATGCATTGATTATCTATTATCAGATAAATTTTCACGAAATTAGATCATACTTTCAATTTCAATCATTTATAATTAGTTATGCAAGCCAGATTTCACAATTTAAAGATATTAATTGATAAATTTTGATCGACTAGATTTCATTTATGTAAATTAGTTCAGACATAAATTGAGGCGACAAATAGTAACTAGCAAAGAAACTTCCATTTAAAAAAAAAAGGAAGAAAATCGAATAAGTCAAAGGATGAAGAAATGAACCAGTAGCAATCACATAGGATACTGTAGCATTACTGTAGTACATTAGTTATTATTATGTTAATTACTATTTAGGACAATGTTTAAGCGACAGTAAATGACGAAACAGTAGAAGACATATACATAAGACTGACAAACCTTTTCCAATCGAGCATTTCGTTCAGCTTTTTCAACATTCCGAAGACTTGGCGGTATATACCAAAAGCAAACATTCAAGAATTCCGGCTATACGAAACAAAACTTATCATTGCTTATCAAAATGATTGTCATAATGATTAAGCTTATGCATTTAGCAAACAGTTTGTAACTCCAAAGAAGTTCAATGTACTACAAAAGCTCTTCCGTCAAAAAAAAAAATTGTGTTAATTTAATCTGTTTAAAATAATTTTTATAATTATCACTTACCGGATCAATAACCAATTCATAACCCTCCGTTTCACGAATTCGAGCTGTAAAGTATGCTGCTAAATCCATCAGACGATTGATTTGTCGACGATATCCTGTCATACCCTTAATTCAAAATATCTTTTAGTTTAGTTTATCATTCCTTCCTTTATATGATCCGCAATACTTTTGCATGTTAAATGTTGACATTTATGAAATTCATTCATATTAATTGTTACGTTTTAACATACATATAAGTTTTTTTCGATCTCAATTATTCATGATTTGCAACAATTCAGGCTTTTTTATATCTATTTTGGTAAAAGTAACTTAAAGACGAAGGAATTGTTAACATTAGGATGCTTAATTTTACTTCAAGACTGATATAACGTATCATGAAAGACTGATATAACGTATCATAAAAGAC